TAAAACTCCAAATACAAAGAGATATTCTCTCAAAAGAATCTTATCCTTATCTTGAAAAGAATCTTCTTGAGTGTTCAACTCTATCAATATCTTCTTTGTAGAGTAATCCTAGCTATCCAATCTTGATCTAATCTCCATCTAACGACTGAGAGTAGACACCAAGGAATAGACTTCTTATTTTGAATAAACTCTAAATTAGATAAAAGAGAATCATATCAAATCTTATCCTTCCATGTGATAAGAATTAAATGATCTTATCTCTAAAAGATATGGAATCTTCCAAATCTTATCCTTCCACAAGTGTGATAAGATTTAAATGATTTTATCCCTAAAAGATAGAGATTCCAACTCTTAAAAATTAGGAGATAGGGCCGGCCTCCCTTGCTTGGTTTGTGGGCCAAAATTTCCTTCCTCAAATGGGCCTTGTAACATATTAATAATCTTGGGCTTGTAACTTCCAGACTTGACATTCTCTTTGCTAAAACATTTGATATAAGATTATTAAGTGCACTCCTCATCTTTTTACTTCTAGTTTGAGCCATTGGGCCTCCAATGTTGGATAATAGATCTTGAGCCACTCCTTGAGCTTGGATAGTACTTGGAACCCGAACACCTTGATCATCTTGGACTTGATTACCATGGATGTTCACATCATTGATGATGGTACATTGTTATCTAGTCAAAGTGGGCGCTACATCTTGAAATTTATCCTTGATTTGCAAGTAGAGAACTGTTTCTCCTATGAGCAAGTTAGTGGATTTTATGTGATGAATCTTTAAGGAGAGAATTGATGCCAAAGAAGATCTTCTTGCTCGAGATAGCCTTTTCTTTCTAAAAGAGATGTCTTTACATGAGGAGGGTTTAATAGTTTATCTTGTGGTAAATATCTTGGATCTATTTTATGAAAGGTGAATCTTAGTGATTTTGTTAAAAATTCTACATAAAGTATAAATGAAAAAGCCTTCCTTCTTGTTGGTTCTCATTTGAATCTAATGAGTAAAATGGAATTTATGGAATTTCCATCAATGAGAATTTCATAGAGTTCCGATCCTTTTGATTATTTTGTTTTGTTCAAATCTTAGTGTCAAAAGATTTCAAAAGTAACAAATGCCGGTTTTTTTTGCTGTTTTTCTCGAGTTTATACTTTGAGAATGAGTCTAATTAGTGGATCTTCCTATCATTGGACTTTCCATGATTCTAACTAGAGTTACAAAACTTTCTCTATCATTTGATGAAGAATGAATTTTAGTGATATCAATTTTGATATAAAATGTTTTAAGGTCTTTGAATTTGAATTGTGCCAATTTTAAGGGTTGAAGTCTTTGACTTGTGTTTAAAACCTTAATTTTCGAGAGTTGAATCAAGAATTGAGTGAAGTTTTACTAAAGATTTTCTTATATATAACAAGAAATCTTATAGGCTTTGAGATATGTTCTTGAAGTTTACATATTTGGTCTTTGGAAAATTTGATTTTCAAATGGTCACTTATGAAGATGACCTTGTTGACTATTGAGTCTTATGAATGGTTTGTGTTAAATTGAGTATTATGAAGGAAACGTCATAGTTGAATGAGGAACTTTAAATTCCAACTTCATTATACTTATGGTGTTCTTGTTGCTTTATTTGCCATAGATTGTTTTGGTAAAAATTGATTTTTGTTAATTCCATATACAATTTGGAAAGTGGTTTTTAGAAAGTATTCTAAAAGTTGTTGGACATTTTGGAAAGTGGTAATTTCCAAGTTTCCTTTTTAAAGTGAGTCAAAAGTAATTTTTTAAATTTTAACGATGGGGTAAAAGTTAAATGCCAAATTTTTGCTGAATTTAAGCATGTGTGTGCTTGAGTTTTATGTGGAGTTCTAAGCCTAGTTGGTTTTGAATTTTAGAGTCATTGTATAGCCGAATTTTTGAGCTAAAAATTAGGGTTTCCTAGTCCTAGTTGAACTTGAATTTTGGTTGCCTATTTGTGTTACACTTTGAGACCTATTCAGTCTTGTATTTATGTGTTCACATGGTCAAAAATTTTCTTCCTAAAATTAAAGTCATTGAGTTCAAATTGTGTTATGATTTGAGACTTATTCGGTCTGGGATTTGAATGTTCACATTGGCCGAAATTTTCCAGCCTTTTTTTTCTGAGACCGTATCCAGTGCACCCGGGTGCACCGTATACCCCCCCGACCAAACACACGCGCATCACGCGCCTAACTGCTTTTACCTTTACATTAAATGCACACAAAAAATTGTTTTCATCCATTTCATCCCCATGCACAAACACACACAAACACACAGTCGTCGGAAACTCTCCATTTTAGGGCAAATACAAAATTGACAACCACTACAAAATTACAGAAAGTCGACGGAAAACCTCCGCTTGAAGACGATTTTGATAACTTCATCTTCTCTCTGCGTTTTTTCATTTTGTCAGTCTGTTCTTTCACAAACACACACAGACGACGGCGAGAAACCCTACCTCCGGCCATCTCAAGCTCTCCTTCATCTATACATGCTTCATTGGTAAGTATATTACTCCGGGATCCTATTTTTTTGATTATCAGCAATATTTTGTGTTTATCCACTAGATCTGAACTAGTTATCCATGGTTTCTTGCGTATGCTATGTGATGGTTGTCCATGCCATAATTACTGGTTATCCACCTATTTCATACTGGTTATCCACATAGCATATTGGTTATCCACCTATTTCATACTGGTTATCCAAAATTTGTATACTGGTTATCCACAAGTTGTAAACTGGTTATCCATGATTTTTTTACATTTGATTCTATGTGGCATGGACAAACTGAACTGGTTATCAACTATATATCTGAACTGGTTATCCAAGTTTTCCTGCGTGTGTGCTATGGGGTGCTTGTCCAAACTTTGTTTCTGGTTATCCACCCATTTTATACTGGTTATCCGCAGGGTGTAAACTGGTTATCCATTGTTTTTTTAGATGTGCTTTTATGTGCCTACATGTCCATACATTATTTGCTAGTTATCCACCCATTTCATATTGGTTATCCACAAGTTGTAAACTGGTTATCCAGAAGTTGTAAACTAATTATCCACAAGTTGTAAACTGGTTATCCACAAGTTGTAAACTGGTTATCCATGCTTTTTCTACATTTGATTCTATGTGGCATGGACAAACTGAACTGGTTATCCACTATATATCTGAACTGGTTATCCAAGTTTTCCTGCGTGTGTGCTATGGGGTGCTTGTCCAAACTTTCTTTCTGGTTATCCACCCATTTTATACTGGTTATCCGCAGGGTGTAAACTGGTTATCCATTGTTTTTTTTTAGATGTGCTTTTATGTGCCTACATGTCCATACATTATTTGCTAGTTATCCACCCATTTCATACTGGTTATTCCTTTTTGATTACTGCTCCTTTTCATATCCTGCTATTTTCTCCACTGACTTCTTAGTGATTGTCCAATGCCAACAGTGCCCTAAAGGAGGCTAGAACAAAACATAGGCACGAGTGGATCAGCGCAAGCCACGACCTTAACCGCAACCCAGACAGATCACCGGATCCTGTAGCTGAGATAATGGAGCTCCCTGAAGGAACACTGACCATATTTAAAAAACAAAAATCAACCCAAGAAGAACAATCCCCTGGTCAAAGTCCAAGGCCCCACAACTTGTGGAGGAAACCAAAGAGAAAGAAGAGCACGCCGACAGGAAATCCAAAGCAACTTGTGGTTGCTGATGACAATGATTCGGGTGATGATAAGAAGCCCAAAAAGAAAAGAACGAAACCTGAGAACAAACTGATCATTGGTCAAGATCCACAGCCAATCAGTTCTGAAGATTTTGTCAAGAAATTTGAGACCAGGATGACACCAAACCATCTCTTCCAACTCATCACTGAAATCAATAAACCAACAGATCTTACAAAAGAGCCAGAGCGGTAGATTATCGCCAACTATAAAGGCAGGCTATCAGAGATATGGGATTTGGCGCCTTGCTGGATCTCAAAATCAAAAATATTCCAATAGCCTTATGTAGTTTTCTGGCAAATAATTTCCAGACTAGTGCGAGACAAGTCCCATTGAATGGCAACAATGTACTGGATATCAAAGAGGAAGATGTTGTTGCTGTACTTGATCTTCCTCGTGGACCCAAACCAATGGAAAGATTCAAACAGAACGATCCCGCTATAATGGACCACGCTGAGATAGTGGATGCATTAAGAAAAGAATGGGATACAGTAATAAATTCCTGCCAACGAGATCCACAGTGGCACAATTAATTGCTGGTCGAAAAGATTTTGGTGAACATCCTGAAGTTCCTTGTGAACATCAATGAGGTGACAGAATACAATTGGTGTCAATATGTGATTGATGCACTGGTCAAAGGATGCAAAAGTCACCACGATGGGAAACCATTCACCGGACCGATCACTTTTTTTTCTGGTACTTACCATATCCGTACAAATTTTACTAGTTATCCATATTGCTTGCAATGTTTATCCAATTTGCTTGTACTGATATCATTAACACCAACTTTTTTTTTTTTTTTGTTAGTTGTGCTACCTTGGCAGGTGTGAGTATGATAGAGCACATCTGAGGTCATTCCCTGGGATCAAATGTTGGGATCAAAAGATTCTGGACGACAGATTAAGACTTCAGGGAAGCAATTTCACAGATGTCCAGACACTTGAACGTCTCAAGAAACCATCCTCAACAGCATCCTGAGATGAACACCCAGAAGGGGAATCACAGAAGGAGGATACACAGGCCAACCCCAACACACAGCTAGTCTATGTAGTGTTCTACCATTTTTTTTCATATTACACCTACGTATCCAACCTAGCATCTCCACATTCCACTAACTACATTCACTTTTGCATGACCTTGCTGCTCTTTATGAAAAATTCTACCAATTGATTATCACGATGAGCAATACTGTTTTAGACATACGTGAGAAGGAAATAGGAGTTAAAAATCGAACCAGATGAACAAGCAAAGCAAACAATCAAGATCCTAACAGATGCAATGGTGTCGATGAGTAGAAAGATGCCTCCGCCTCTAGGTACAACGCAACACCAACAAGAGCAGCAACAAGACCAGCAAGACCTCCAGGATGCACATATTTGTGAATTGTGCGAGACGGCATGGAAGGCCACTGAAAGCAGGTTTGCAACAATAATGGAACAGCTGCAACGACAAGTAGCTGACCAACAACAACAACAACACCAACAAACTTGTGACAACACTGTACAAGCTCCAATTAATCCCACAAATTTTCAAGACATTGAAATGGACAAAGCACGGGGACCGGAGCAATTGAGCCAGACAAATGATGAGGATTCTCTTCTAGTAAGGAAATCCATTCCTACTTCAAAAGAAGTGGTGGTTGATGAACAACAAACTCAACCACAAGGTAATGAATATTTTTTTAATGAAACAAATACTTGTCTGATGTGATTGTACTTGTCATCCAACCAATTTGTACTGCTTATCCAACCCCTTTTTTCCCTTTAAATGGTTATCCATTATGTTCCTGCCGATTATCCGGCCTGTTTGAACTGATTATCCATTTCGCTTGAACTGGTTATCCAATGTGTCTAATGTATATGTATGTTCGTACTAATTATCCAGCATTCCAACTTTGTATTGCAGCACATGAAACGAATATCTCCACAAGAGAAAAGAAGAGATCCCATCAAGATTTCACCGGCCAGGATTCAGGTGTGACATCTACCTATACCAGAAGGTCGAGATGCACTAGTACCCGGAAAAGGAAAGTATTCAAAGATCCAACTATACCACACTTTAACCTGGGTATCTTCTCCAGTCAGGCGGACAGTTACGAGACAACCCAGGAGAAGAACACTGAGGAAGATATCACAGGAAGTGTTGATTTGGATAAAGATGTCAGTGAGACTATAGAAGCAGAAGAATATCCAGTACCATCTGCACTTGACGAAACAAAGAATCCCACTCCTTCCATCGATGAAATCAAAAGAAGGGCCAGTTCACCAGCTTCAAAATCATTAAGTGATACCAAAAAACTAGAGATGATTGCCGCTGCTGCAGAAGAAGTTGAGAACTCAAAGGTGGTTGAAGCAGTCCCTTTAAGCATAATTCCACCCGATTGGAATATTGCTTCTACAAAGGGTAGTCTAGTGATGCTGGAGAAAAATGAGTGTACCACGCCACTGCCTGCAATCTCAAAGGAAGCTGATGAGCTTGATGAAGAGTTAACAAAGACAGTGGAAAAGTAAGTTTGATCCACTGTGACTCCCCACTACAAAATAGAAAGACGAATTTACATACTAACTCTCTTTTGTTTTGTCCTAGGATCCTCAATGAAAAACCTAAGAGGAGAAATCCACCAAGACTCCACCGGTTGCCCGAACGGTTCAGGTCGCCGTTCATGCTGCAGAAGAAAAACAAGAAAAAAGTCATACAGTGGACAGAGGAGAAGAAGAAAATGAACCAAGAAGAAGCCCTATTGATAGACTTTGCTCTCCTACAAAGACAAGAAGAAATAGTTTAATCAGGGTAAAAGTCACCATCCTTACCCTGTGGGATAAAAAAATTACCAGTTTTCCAACTATTTGTCTATTTGACTACTTTTTCTATGCAGGAAACTCTTGTTTGAATTTGGAAAAATCATTTGGGCAGACAGGACAGCTTTCTATTCCATGAGGGAAGGGACATGGATAGAAAACAGCATCATAGATGCTTGGGCTGTCATCCTAAACAAAGAAGAACCTAAGAGTGACTCCCCAAGACGGATATTCTTTGGTGTTTCATCATTTGTAAGTCAACTAAACCCTTATTGTTTATCCCGCCTTGGTAAAATACTTGTCACATGTCTGCAAGTTGTTTATCCATATGTTTGTACTTATTATCCAATTTGTTACTAATGCTTGTCCACCAGAGTTGAACTGGTTATGCCTTCTATGTGTGGCTTGTCCATGATTCATTTGCTGGTTATCCATCTGTTCTGAACTACTTATTCACAAGATCTGAACTGGTTAACCATTCCTTCTTGTGTGTCATCTAGGGTACTTGTGGTTGACCTTGTACGTGCTTGATTCCGATCATTGTTTCCTACTACACTTTCCAACCATTATACTGATCATTGTATCATTTTCCAACCATCTCAAACAATAACGCAGGATACAATCAGTCGATACTATCAACAGGGTAGTAACAAAGAGGAAATCAAGTTCACATTCTATGAGAGGTTGGGTCTTGAACTAGAAGAACAAGGCCTTATTGTAGCATCTCTGTTAGCGGCAAAAGCTGTAAGCAACATCTTTCACCTCTTTTACTCTTTCTATAACTGGCTGTTAAAAAATTTACATATGATTTCCCCCTTCAATGTGAGATATCAGATCTACTTCCCAGTACACTACCAAGACCATTACTTCTTGTATGTGTTGCTGGTTGAAGAAAAGAAAGTGCTTGTCCTCAACAATATTCATGCAAAAGATTTGGACTACTACAAGCCAACGAAAGATCTACTTGTGAGTGAAAAAAAGATACAATATGATTGTCATAGTTTAAGAATTATCCATTGCATTTTGCTGATCCTTGGATTTTATGGCATCACAGTTTCGGTTCTTCAAAAGCTACGTTGCATGTGTGTTTCCACGCATAGAACTGGTCAGTGCTCAGTACACCTTCACAGAGGTTACGCTACCATCGCATAAGGACAAAACGCCGAATGCGGAAGATTGTGAAATATACACAATGCACCACATGGAGCGGTATGATGGTGGTGAATACGAGGATGGTACTACTTTGGATTTCAACATGGTGAATACAAGGATGGTACTACTTTGGATTTCAACACAGGAAACATCAAAAAGTATTGGTGGAAATGCATGATAAAAATCCTTATGCACCCAGCCAACAAAAACAAGGACAAAATCCTCAAAGCAACACACCAGTTCTATACAAATACTGCTGAAGAAGAACAAAAAGAAATCCCAGATCATGTTGATTTGAGCAGCAAATCTTACTACGATGACAGAAAAATTCAGGGATAGGTTAAATAAACTGTCATTATGTTCTCTTGTATAATTGATTGACTGTTGATCCTAAAGTGTTTGATATCCAATAGCTGTGTACTGGCCATCCTAGTATATTATCCAACCGTTTGTAATGGTTATCTAGGATCTTTGTACTAGTTATCCAACTTGTTACACCTGATTATCCGAATGTTTTATAGTGATTATCCAGTCAAAAAAATGCAAGTACAGACTTTAACCTGATTATCCAAAAAGACATAACAAAAGAAAATATCCATAAGAAAATAACAAGACAATGTATTTTGGTTGTCCAAATATTTCTGTAAATTCCCAAACAACAAAAACTGAGTGTCCCAATTTGTTGGTTGTTGGAGGTGCAACTTCACTTGGGCCAACAACCATTCATGGGTCCGATAATATTCCTTTATGGCTTATTAGGCCGGCTAAAACCCTAACAATGGCTTAAGCCCATCATTGAAAGGAATATTCTCAGGGAATAATCCCCTCACCTTATCTATATATACCCCATTTTTGGTGGTTGAGAGTAAGCTCATTTTACTACTCCCTTCTTGGCTCACATTTTATACATTCACTCTTGACACTGACTTCCTCGTTGGAGTGCTAACTCTTGTTTTGCAGGTCTCAGGTCCATAGACACCGTTGACCCTCGTCCTTACGGATTTCACGCTCGACAAGTGGCACCGACTGTGGGGATCACTTTGTGTTCGTGATCGAAGGTGAATCTAAAAGTCTTCGTGTCTATGGATCTGGAGCAATGGGGTTTAAAGCTACACATTTGAGTTTGTGGATCTGGGATTTCTCCGTGATGTGGGGCCAAGTCAAATGGGGCCGTGAAGTCCGTAAATTTGGAAGGAAGCCTGTCTTCGACGTCAGGCTGATTTGGGGGCATCTGCAGTGATACATTCCCCCCAAGTTCCAACTGTAACAACATCGGTAGCAAGCTCCGGCGGCATCCCAAAAATGCGAAGGTTCGACGTCGAAAGTCACAGTCGTCAGTCGAATTCATCTCCGGCAGTGAGTCTATTCGGCAACATCGCCTTCAAGCCTTCGTCAACGCCCAATCTCAAAGTCATCATTGGCAGCCGTTACAATCGGCAAGTTGCAGCAACTCCATCTTCAACACCGTCACAATCGGCAGTGAGTCTATTCGGTGTCAACGGCAAAGGTGACTGAGCAGCAACTCCATCTTCAACACCGGTTCAATGTGGTAAACGGAAGCCATCCTCGACCCAACTGGAAGCTTCGTCCATAGAAGCGGCAGCCGCGGTCCAGATCGAAACCATCGTCGGCAGTAGTAACTTTAGGCCATCCTCGACTCTTGTAGTCGTTCTTGATTTCAGCATCGTCGTTGGCAGTAACGGATGGCGGCGGCGGCCTGCTTCACCTTCGGACAGTTTCATCGTCGACATCCATGAAGGAATTCGACGCCACCAGCTCCTCCATTTATTGCAAAAATGGAAGCCACGTCCGGCTTTCATCTCCGACGTGGGATAGAAGCCTCTCCAAAGTGAAGCTCGGCTTCGACCTTCGACCTTCGTCGGCATGAGGGGAAGCTGCAAGCAAACCAGAGACCGAAGCTTCAGCCCCAAAACACCAGCAACTGTCTTCGGCAACCACCGACCCTGGAACTGAAAGCTTCCTCGACCAAAAGCTGCCGATGGGGCAAGAAAGCCCTCTAGTCGTCATCAGTGGCAGCGGTTTCATCATTGGCGGCCACCTTCGATTCGTCAATCATCATTCTTAATGAAAAAGCAAAGGCGAAGACAACACCGGTGGCAGCCGGCTTCAAGTAAGAAGAAATAAAACGGAGCTTTCACCGTCGTCCACAAACCGAAGCCACCTTCGACAATGCGATTCACCTTCGTGCAACTTCGGCGTTGGCGGCCTGCTTCACCCGTGGACAAAGCTGCTTCACCCAGCTAACTTCGCCTTCGGTTTTCGATCTTGGCTTCGGTTTCTGCTTTAGGGTTTGATTTCAGCTCGTGTCGGCGTCGATCCACCTTCGACAGAAGCAACAACCCGCGGGTTGAAGAAGAAGACGACGAATTGGACGTCGGGCGGGAAAAAGGGCCAGAATTGCAGAAAATTCAAAATTTTGCAATCAGGTCCCTGTTATTTCATTTATTTACATATCAGCCTTAAAAGTTCAACAATTATCAAACCGACTCTAAAGTTTGAAAACGAGGCAATCAGACCCCCTGACAAAGATTTTAGGGTCCATCTAGGAGCTTTACAAGCCAATTGCAAGGATCTCGTCCATCTGGGAGCAAAGCCCGTCTCGATCCCCGTGGTCGATGGCACCGTGTGGCCTCCGCGGCCTAAAGCATTCCTACGGCCTCCGCGGTCTTGGAGCTTTTATAAGCCCGTCTCAATCCCCGTGATCGACGGCACTGTGTGGCCTCGGCGGCCTACGGCACTCCTACGGCCTCCGCGGTCTTGGAGCTTTAATAAGCCCGTCTCGATCCCCGTGATCGACGGTAGTGTGTGGCCTCCACGGCCTACGGCACTCCTACGGCCTCCGTGGTGTTTGAGCTTTTATAAGCCCGTCTTGTTCCCCGTGGTCGACGGCACCGTGTGGCCTCCGCGGCCTGTGGCACTCTTACAGCCTCTGCGGTCTTGGAGCTTTTATAAGCCCGTCTCGATCCCCGTGGTCAACGGCACTGTGTGGCCTACGCGGTCTACGGCTCTCATACGGCCTCCGCGATCTTGGAGCTTTTATAAGCCCATCTCGATCCCCGTGGACGACGGCACTGTGTGGCCTCTGTGGCCTGCGGCACTCCTACGGCCTCGGCGGTCTAGGAGCTTTTATAAGCCCATCTCGATCCCCGTGGTCGACGGCACCGTGTGGCCTCCGCGGCCTACGGCACTCCTATGGCCGCCGCGGTCTTAGAACTTTTATAAGCACGTCTCGATCCCCGTGGTCAACGGCACTGTGTGGCCTCTGCAGTCTACGGCTCTCAAACGGCCTCCGCAGTCTTGGAGCTTTTATAAGCCCATCTCGATCCCCGTGGACGACGGCACTATGTGGCCTCCGTGGCCTACGGCACTCCTACGGCCTCCGCGGTCTTGGAGCTTTTATAAGCTCGTCTCGATCCCCGTGGTCAACGGCACTGTGTGGCCTCCGCGGTCTACGGCTCTCATACGGCCTTCGCGGTCTTGGAGCTTTTATAAGCCCATCTCGATCCCCGTGGAGGACGGCACTGTGTGACCTCCGTGGCCTACGGCACTCCTACAGCCTCCGCTGGTCTTGGAGCTTTTATAAGCCCGTCTCGATCCTCGTGGTCGACGACATTGTGTGGCCTCCCTGGCCTACGGCACTCCTACAGCCTCCACGGTGTTTGAGCTTTTATAAGCCGGTCTTGATCCCCGTGGTCGATGGCACCATGTGGCCTCCGCGACCTGTGGCACTCTTATGGCCTTCGCGGTCTTGGAGCTTTTATAAGCCCGTCTCGATCCCCGTGGTCGACGGCACTGTGTGGCCTCCGTGGCCTACGGCACTCCTACGGCCTCTGCGGTCTTGGAGCTTTTATAAGCCCGTCTCGATCCCCGTGGCCGACGGCACCGCTTGGCCTCCGCGGCCTACGGAACTCCTACGGTCTCAGTGACCTTAGAGCATTTTACAGTCCCGTCTCGATCCCCGTGGCCGACGGCACTGTGTGGCCTCCGTGGCCTGCGGCACTCCTACGGCCTCTGCGGTCTTGGAGCTTTTATAAGCCCATCTCGATCCCCGTGGTCGACGGCACCGTGTGGCCTCCGTGGCCTACGGCACTTCTATGGCCTCCGCGGTCTTGGAGCTTTTAAAGCCCGTCTCGATCCCTGTGGTCAACGGCACTGTGTGGCCTCCGCGGTCTACGGCTCTCATACGGCCTCCGCGGTCTTGGAGCTTTTATAAGCCCATCTCCATCCCCGTGGACGACGGCACTGTGTGGCCTCCGTGGCCTACGGCACTTCTACGGCCTCCGCGGTCTTGGAGCTTTTATAAGCCCGTCTCGATCCCCGTGGTCGACGGCATTGTGTGGCCTCCGTAGCCTACGGCACTCCTACGGCCTCCACGGTGTTTGAGCTTTTATAAGCCCGTCTTGATCCCCGTGGTCGATGGCATCGTGTGGCCTCCGTGGCCTGTGGCACTCTTACGGCCTTCGCGGTCTTGGAGCTTTTATAAGCCCCTCTCGATCCCCGTGGTCGACGGCACTGTGTGGCCTCCGTGGCCTACAGCACTCCTACGGCCTCCGCAGTCTTGGAGCTTTTATAAGCCCGTCTCGATCCCCGTGACTGACGGCACCGCTTGGCCTCCGCGGCCTGCGGAACTCCTACGGTCTCAGTGACCTTGGAGCATTTTACAGGCCCGTCTTGACCCCCGTGGCCGACGGCACCGTCGGACCCCTGCGGTCTACAGCACTTATAGCCTCCGTAGGCCTTGGTACATTTGAACCGGTCTTACCTTCCAAAAGGCACAAGTTTGAACGCCAGATGCTACTTGACAGCCTTGAGGTGCCAGAAAGTCTATCAAATCTAGTGGACCTTCCTGGGACGACGGTCCGATCACGCCACACTTAAGTCAATGCGGTTTAAGGCCTTCCATGACAAAAAGAGTGGCATTACATTCTATAATTTAGGTACGTGACATCTTCTAAGAGTTTTTGAGAACGTACCATGTTTTCTCTTTATCTTGGAAATCTGGCATATATGAAGTGTTCCAACCAAAATACTACATTGACATAACCCATCCGGCCCCAGATCTGGCTAATGGGTGCTAATTACTCATTGAAATAGCGTCGATAAGCTTTTGGGTTTGAAACTCGTACGATCTTGATTTACCTTAGGGTTAGAAACTCACGTGGCAGTGACCAACCTTCGAGTTCCACACTCGTATGGGTTCGGCTTGCTTTTGAGTTGAGCACTCACGCGGCGTCGATTAGGCTTGTAGTTATATACTTCTACGATTTTGATCCGCCTTTGAGTCAACAAACCCTTACGGCATCGACCACCCCTAGAGTTTCATGCTCATTAAGCTTTGATTCGCTTGAAGAGTTATGTACACCCGAGGGTTGGATTATCCTTAGACTCAATCTAACTTCGTCCAGGAGATTCTTTCGTTTCTTTCCTTATCAGGGGGGACCTCATAGAATGGACGATATTACTTTGAGTTGTGGCCTACCTTACCTTACCTGCGATTGTGAATATTTTTCTATCTTCGAAGATGAAAGGGGTCAACCTGTTCGCCCCGCCTCCTTCGAGCACAAACATACACTGATCATTCGTCTCGACAACATCCCTCGGCTTACTACAGGCCGCTGAGGTTTATGTCTTCACGACGATGCCCCTCGTTCCGTCCGATCGCTTACACACTTGTCCAAGAGTACTGGCATGAGGATTACTCCTCTTCGCTTATCTGTTGATTATCGCGAGTGTCCTTTTCTGAAAACATCATCCGGGGGCAACTTCTTAGCTCTAATCACCTTTCCTGACGGTTGAACCTACCCACTGACTATTGACATTCCGATGATCATCGTACGCCTCTTCACTTATTGTCAGGTTTCACATCTTGCTCACGGAACGTCCGTGATGCCTTCGGCCTTTATTGAGCCATCACTATTGGTTTTCGTCACTTGACGACTTAACCAGCATCAGCTTATTCTAAAGAAAACTTTTGACTCCTCATTGGTCGTCTTCGGTTGATGATAACCTAATTCAGTCCGGTGGTCCATCACGATCCACTTTTCATTGTCTCTACCTATGTAATCGAAGTTTCAGACCTCTTTTGTGCCCGCAGGGAACCACGGATGCCCTTACTATCCGACGTATCAGACAACGTCGGACACCAAACTCATGCTCCTAAGCAATTAGTAATTCGACGATGATTTCCGTCGGCCTACCCTGTGCCGACACGGGTTGTAATTAACTTACGTTGTGTCCATAGAAACCTTTTGGCCTTCCTTGGGCCATCATTATTAGCTTTGGCTACTCGGCTACTTCATTAGCCTTGGTTTATCTCCAGCGAGCTTTTAGCTCCTCGGACGTTCATCCTCATCTATTGACATTCAGATAATGTTCTTCTACCGATTCATTCTACGCTATATGTCTCGGGTTCAGACGCAAGGCTGGGTTAACCTCGGGGCCGAACTTTTCCTTACATACCCGCTATTGACCGATCACGCAGCAGTTACAAACTTCTGTCTATCATGCCCCAACGAGGTCTATCCATGTTATTGTTCCAACCTATCACATGTCGTCACCAGCCTTGACGTCACCTCTTCGAGAAGAAGAATTCTTTGTCACCTTCTTCCTTTCTTGACCTCTTTGTTGGATCGGGAATAAACTCCTCAAATGATTTGTGCCTCTACGTTCTGGTGTCCACACAAGTGGCGCACTCGGATCCAGCTTATCTCTGGGCATGTTCGGTAACCAAATGCGACGGTTCCCTCGATAAGGGTTCGGCGTGACAATGTTTTGCACTCCGATTACAGTTACCTATTATTACTCTTTAGCCACCATGGAGGGTTATGGATTTATCTGATCAGGTAGACCCCTGAATGGATGGATCCCCCGTGAGTCCGCACTACAGCTCCATGCTATTATTTGCCAAGTATTGTATTTGAACCCTGTTATTGCATGTATGTGCTTCTCTACTACCACTTGGCAGGGGCACTTGTTGGAGGTGCAACTTCACTTGGGCCGACAACCATTCATGGATCCGATAATATTCCTTTATGGCTTATTGGGCCGGCTAAAGCCCTAACAATGGCCCAAGCCCATCATTGAAAGGAATATTCTCAGGGAATATTCCTCTCACCTTATCTATATATACCCCATTTTTGGTGGTTGAGAGTAAGCTCATTTTACTACTCCCTTCTTGGCTCACATTTTATATATTCACTCTAGACACTGACTTGCTCGTCGGAGTGCTAACCCTTGTTTTGCAGGTCTCAGGTCCATAGACACTGTTGACCCTCGTCCTTACGGATTTCACCCTCGACATTGGTCTTTCTACTTCTTTATTAAACTGCCTATCCTATGATGTTATATTGCTTATCCAATATTTTTTTCCTGATTATCCAATGCTCTGTATTGATTATCCAGGACTTTTGTACTGGTTATCCAGCCAATGTGCAGCAATGTCCAACAGTTTGTAATGGTTATCTAGGATCTTTGTATTAGTTATCCAACTTGTTACACCTGATTATCCGAATGTTTTATAGTGATTATCCAGTGAAAAAAATGCAAGTACAGTCTTTAACCTGATTATCCATGAGTTTATACTTGTTATCCAAAACCTCAATACTGCTTATCCATATGTAACCAATGCCTATCCACTATGTGGACATAACAAAACAAGGATTCAGACAGGACTTCCAAAAAGACATAACAAAAGAAAATATCCATAAGAAAATGGATATCCAAATGGCATGTTCATTGGGGGGCTTCGCCCCCATGATAAACTAAACGACTCCCGCGGCTACCGGAATCGCAGATCACCAACCTGCCCCGGCTGCGCCGCCCCGCCAAACACGCCAATGTAGCTAAGGTAATCCTTTTTTCGTGTGTGTGTACAGAGAGTGGGTGTGTAAGGAGAGTGTGTTATTGCATTAAGAGGGGATACAAATTACTTGTATAAATCCCCCCATGATAAACTAAGCGACCCGGCTGCGCTGGTGCCTGCAGTTGCGCCGCCTATCGCAGCTGTGCCGCCCCCATGCCGAACATGGCAAATTTCATAAATAGTATTTAATTGAATGAGGGGTAGTTTGCCAAATGATGGAGAACAAAAAATGAATGAGGGGTAGCTGGATAACTAGTGTAAAAAATACAAATAAGGATATCCAAGAAAAATATAAAAGGAAAAAAATGATAGTGCACGTTGTCAACACTGATTATCCAACAGGTTAATAA